ACTAACATCAGTGGAAAATTCTTTCTTTCATGATAAGGCAGAAAAACAAAATTTAGCAACAGACCACAGTACTTTTATGTAAGCATAGTTCTTCAGTGATAATAACATTGATTAACTTGTTATAATATTACCAATGATTAATCATTTATCCGTTGTGGAAGAAGTGTTGAAGTTGGTGGTAGACTGTAAAACTAATGCCTGAAGCTATGGGACCTTTGATCCAATTAACTGATAAGCCTTTGTATAGACCATGAATAAGACCTTCATCTCGATAGACAAATTGTAAAGTCTTGTATAAACTCTTCGTATATTCTGGATGACCTATTGATATAATCAACGAAATTGGAAATGAGAATATATTAAAATACATTTTGTGAAGAAATTACCCACAGGTAGTAATGAATGGAAGCCACCCTCCGCAGTTTCTTACACGTGTATTCAAGACAAAGAAAAGATGACAAGTGGATGTTACACGAATCAGTCTCAGGACAGATGCCAATTCAGTTTTTAAGTTCTCACTGTTCACCAAAGTCTGTTGATGAAGTTTGCACCATAAACAATGACAACACTGTAATGTGCCACATTTCGGTCTTATATATTAAGTCAGTCGGTAGACACCACCACCACTACCAAGTCGATGTTTGTCAAACTACAAGTGGATAACAATAAAAAAGATAGACTATTTTGGTGTTTGCACTCCCCAATGAATTTTAAACAACATAAGGTTTGTTTTCCCTTCATTAGGAAATAAAAATACTAAAATGATGCATATCACGTACCGATGCCCAAATGTTTTCAAACCATCAATCCCAACTTAGTTTGGTTATCTATAAATTGACTAAAGATAGATAGATAATTTACCCCACTCAAGGGTTGGGACTGGGGAGTAGCTGGAGATGTTCAAAGGATTTGAATTCCTGTCTTCAGCCTACGACCTCTAGAAATATTCGTTTGATATGTTATTCTGAAAATTTTAAACTGTGAAAAATTGAATTTCGTCCCATAGTAACTTCATAAGTAAGTCATCCTTCCTTTAGACCTCACCAAAACGCCCTGTAGATACACATGCATTTTAGACTGAAAATTGGGCAACCAATAGACTCATTTTTCTCCCACTTATTATGATTTATTGGTAGTTATGACAAAGTGTTATGTTGGTAAAGCATCGGGCCGAAAACCTGGTGGTCGCTGGTTGGAATCCGACCGCGGTCCAAATTTTCATTTCACCTTCAATCATCACCCAGTATAAATACTAGCCTGCCAAACTACGGCTATCTCACATAGTCAAATGATAAGGTGTTATTAGTTGGTAGAGTACAACTAGTCTGTGGGACTTCAGTTTGTCCATCACATGTTTTAGACCACATTGTCTATTTCTAACTGTCATATTTCAATTGTATGAGGATAAAATCTGTGAATACTTAATTTCTTTGGAAAACGTCTTATATCTGTCACACACTGGAGGAGTCACAAGTTCAACTCTATGTTCCCCTTGCTCCAAATATGAAGTTACTCTAGAGTTTTTTGATATTGTGAGATCAGCTGCTTTCGGTCTTAACCTTCTCTCACCTACTCTTCGCACATAGTACGACTTCAATGAATACACATTTCAGAGAAAGAAAGCCGGATGAATAATCGCGACAGAACAACCCTATTGCCAGGTAAAGGTATTAGTCATTGTAAAATATCATAAAACCTCTCAGCAAGAAGTCAAACTATATAAACCAACTAAAGATATTATCAAATAGTTTGATCTATATATCGTGAACAGTTATAACTCGTTAAACTCTATATTCAGAATTGTTTAATCAATACGGTCACTTAAATTAGTTTGTACTTTAAAGCCTGATTAATAAATAAATATATCATTCATCGTTTCGATAATACTGGTCGCAATTAAATTCGTCAAACATACATAGCTCCAAGATGTTCGTCATCTGATTTCACATACGTAAATCAACGATTGCATTTTATCGAATCTGATTATCTTTCAAGACTTTCTAATAATGATATGAAAGGACTTTCTACAATCTTCATAGATAGACTAGCAGCTGCCAGCTATTGAGTGAAATTAACTGAAGTGGAACAATTAAATCTTTTAGTTCAGTTTATACAGATTGGAAATAATTTCTTTGAATAAATCTACTTCTTTGTTGGTGGAATCACCGTGTTAGCAATGTCGATGTTAGGCGAAGGGTAACGGGCAAGATAGGCAAGTCAGTAGATGAGATTGTGAGCCTTCAGTGACTGAGGTGGCTTGGATATATGTTGCGTTGCCGACCCACCGCCTACTTTGACTTTCAGTGCTGACAGAATTTGGATTAGGTTGGTAAACGCTCAGGGTGACCAGACCAAGACGTGACTTCAGTCCATGAAGTCTCTAACTGTTGTTCAGAGCTGTGTAGGCTGTATGGCTGGCGTCATGGAGGGAGTAGAAACCAATGGTTGGAGATTTGGTAATATGACGCCGAACCGATCAAAATCGCGCGAATGTATTCACTTTATTTGATTTTCGAAAGTCTGAACATTTTCGCTAATCTACATCTCTGAAATACACTCTCCTTTCACACACTTGTGTTTAATATCACTCTTTTTCTATTCACTCGCTTTTTTGCATGCTCATGTGGAACGTGGCAACCTGAACCTGATTTTGTTTGTCTATTTACACTTTTAATAAGACGGTAGTAACACTTACAAATAGTTATGAATACTTAAAGCTCATGGTAGAAGTCTTGAGAGTTTCTCTGAAATTTAATTATTGGCATAGAATGTTCCAAAAAACTAATGTCTCTCTCTAAAATAACAGCTGTTCAGTAAATTCCAAACCAACAAACTGAGTCAGTGTATTGAAACAAAGTTGAAAAGTAAAATTGAATCGGACAGATAACAGAAAGCAGTCAGGAACATAATTGATTAATGTATGGTAACGAAATCAATCGGTCGATTCAGCAACACCTAAAGGTAGCCAGTTAAATTGAAACACACTATGGATGAAGATTAATACAAATGGAATAAAATCAATAACTGTAGTGCTTGAGGAGGAGGGTAGAGAGCTCATCAGTACGGGCAACGAAACAGTATCCAACAGCCACCCTGAATGAAAGTAACATATACAGAGATGCATTATATGTTTGTTCTTCCAATCCAACCGCAGACCAAAGGAAAGGAAAGATTTTAATTTTAATTTTAGAAAATCAGAAAATACATAAACAAACGACACATTTTCCACTCTAAGTTACTGAATTTCACCATGAAAACGCCGACAAGGGACAACAAGGGAATCTTAAAGATTCCCTACAACAGTGAAACATACCTGTAATGTTAGCCGTTTGCATTCGTCGCCTGGCAATATCCAATGGATATGAAGCAGTCTGCCCCAAAGTTCCAGCTACTGCACCACAGCACAAATTCTCAACTGGATGTAACTTTTTAGACCGAACACCAGTGAGATGCATTTGTTTGTCTGCAAAATGGAATAAAGAAACCCATTAAACCTATTGAACAGTGAAAAAACGGAAAGCACACTTCGACTACTTGCGCTGAATATACTGAGGATCACATATGATGAGCCTAGTCTGAAACAATGGAGATTTTGTTAAGTGGTAACAGCATTTACCTAGCCAGTAACATTTTGAACACGGATCCCAACCCATATCAGTCAGCGAAACGAACTAGTATCGTCTTCTGTAAAATACTACATGTAGCTTGCAGCTTAGTAAATATGACCATATGAGGTAGTTCCCTTTTACAAATCATACATACTTGGGTATTTTCGTTGCCATTTTCCCCAACACTTCGCGTCTATTGCGTACCAACCCTTCTTTTATAGAGCAAGCTGGAGTTGAATTGAGAAGTGAAAGCTGTCAACAGATCATTATCAATGTATAACGCGGGTTTAGATCAAATTACGACGTTTCGCAGGCCAAATCAGAAGTTTAGAACAGCTACACAACACTACTTTCAGAGATACTAGATTATGGCTACTCCGTGTTTACATATACTGTTGCTAAGAGAAACTAATGCAATTACCATACACAAGGTTTATACATCTGCCTGTGCTGCTAATTCCTGTCGCCTTTTCCTCGGTCTGACCGGTTTGATAGTTTTCATGAAACTCCATTCGAACCGGCGTAGAGTTGTGGCACATTAGTTTAGGGAGTCGACTTCCAACCAGTGGATCGCGGGTTCGAAAATCCCTCCACCTACTGAGGTTTGGACAACCAGGTGGCATCATTAGCTCTCACACATTAGGCGTATCTCAGTGCCTACTCCACCGATAACTGCTACCTTGACATGGTTTGTGTATCACAATGACCCCACGAGCTATGCTGGTGGAAGGCTTGTTTCCTCGAGATCCTACCGCCCCAGAAAGACCATTTGGATCGTGGTACAACAAAAAGCAGTTACCGTTTTAGTGTAAACTATTATCCATTGACGGGGTCCAAGGGTGAAGTAATCCCTCTGGCTGGATGGGGTGTAAGCTGCTTTCCATAGATGACCGGTAGTCCGGAGCTTTCGATGTTCGCACCTTCCATTAAATCGGACAACAGGCGTCGCTAGCCAAAACATCAGGATCTCCGGCCATGGGTCTGTGTTGGGTTTGTGAGGCACGCAGACAGGACCCAAGCGCGTTTATTCAGTTAACTTCAGCTGGCAAACAGGGTAAATTTGTCAAGTTTATGGGGATTCGATGGCTAGTCCTTGCGGTTTTCAATATATAGGTATAACGTTGTGTTAGGGAAGGTGCTCTACTCGATTGGATCTCAGTCGACAGCCGCTTGTGCACTGTTCGACCGAACAGCACAGTGAAGACTAAAAAGAACAGTGAAATTCGTCGTTGTCTGTTTGCTTACCCATGCACCGACTGAAGTTCGGAAGAAGTGAAAGATGAGTTCTACCGAAGACTGTCTAGTATCCTACTAAAAGCTAAACGTTAAGACGTGGTTGCTGTCGCAGGTGGTTTCAGTGAACAAGCGGGTAGGCTAAGTCAAGCAGAAAGGCATTCAGGTGGCACTTTTAGAATCCCAGCCGAGCGAACAGAAAATGGCGATCGTCTGCTACGAGTGTGATAAGATAACCATCTAGTTCTAGGGACCCCAAATTTCAGACATAAAAGATACACTGTATGACACGGCGTCCACCTACTTCAACTCAGCGGTGAACACAGATAGATCACATTGCTATGAGTTGGCGCTGGTAACAATCGATGGAGGATTGTCGCTACTTTTCGAGCACGTATTTATCTGCGCCCAAATGAGCGCAGGAAAACTATAGCCACAAGACCATTGGGAGTGCAGCTCGATAATGCGAGCACTGAATCAGCCTTCAACGAGAAACTGGCTAGACAGACAGTTACGACAACACCCTGCTGTAAAAACAGCCTTGAAGACCGTAGCCGATTCTCAAAGAGTGGCTGGAAAGAAAGAATAAGTAGATCTCAGTAACTTCTTCTGAATTAATGGATCTGCGTCCACACATTTCTGCAGCTCCGAAGCACAATGAAGAGCAAAAGCAATTCAAACGTAAACTGACAAAAAGTCTACACAATAACTACAGTGATGGACAGCGAAGGTTATAGAGAACGGAAAAGCAGCAGCGATAGTTAGCAGTAGACAGCTATTCAGACATCTGGGAAACTAAGACGTAAAGGTCCGCGGTCAGTGAAACCATGGCCGAGACGACTCAGGTGATGGGCGGAGCACTTGGAGGAACAGTTCAACTGGTGTCTAGCTAATATTCGGTTGCTCGCTATTCAGTCAGATCCTGAATGGAACATAGGATTGGGGCCCCGAAGTTGAGAGACGACCAGACGGACTAGTTCCACAGGTATATAGGGATGGTAGTCAAGGATTTTTAGTTAACAGAAGTGTTAACTAGTGTGTAGGAGTTAGGTTTGATCCCCTCTGACTGGTCTTAGTCACTGATTGTTTCAGTCTTCACGACAGGCGAGAAGTCCTCTTTTGATAACCACAGATGAATCAGCCTGACGAATATAATGTATAAGATTCTATAATCATTAGACGTCTGAGTGGAACTTGGGAACAGGAAGTTTGAGAAAACTAGACAGACTTCAGACATGGACGAGGGTACGTCGACTAGGTATTCATCTCCTATCAAGTTCTGGGACACAGACATACTTACCGACGCCCTAAACAAGATATATTTCCCAGCCTGAAGGCGGCATTCCACTTCGTTAACCAAGCGGTTTTGTGAAGGTATCTCTCGTTGAGAGGTGTCGAATAGGTACACCACTTTGTTAGACGCTCTTTACTCTAACATCTGTGGGTGTTAGAGACTATGATGAATTGTGTACTTTGAGTGATGCCCATGAACGATGTCTTCTGTTTCCATTCTTACTCAATTTCACCACAGGTTTTCTTATGGAGGTCTGCCTACCATCGTTTGACTTTACAGGGATTGGTCTTGTCACAGGGGAATTTTCGACAGATCTAGAGTAGGTAGATGAAATAGTCCTGCTAGGTGAAGACACTGACAAGATGTAGAGTCTTATGGATATCTTGAGTGGCAAGTTGAGAATGTCTGATGCATATTTGCCACTCAAGTGGAAGTTGTTGATCGCTGAATGGTCTTCACTGCTGCCTTATCTAAGAATAGGGAGTGAAATGGTTGAGTGCATTGACCACTTTACTTACCTGGGAAGTCGGATCAGACACGGTGGCCCAATGGCTGACGAAATCTCTGCACGGATACAAAGAACTCGATTAGTTTTCATTAACTTACGCAGTGTGTAGCGCCGAAGTGATACCCGATTGTCTACTGTATCGAGCGTACTGCACAGCAGTTTGATCCCTTCTAATAAATGGTTATGAAAAATGGTCATTAAGAGTAGACAGCACGAGAAGCCTCCACATATTTGACCACCGTTGCCTTCGTAGCATATGTCCTGCCATGGTGTCACTAATGGAGAAGTCAGGTCCAGAGTTTTAGGGACGAGAGGAAAGTCAGTTGATGAGGCTGCAAACCTTTATCAACTAAAGTGGCTGGGGCATCTGTTTTGCATGCCCAATCACCATCTACCTCGTCGCACAATGTTAGCTGAAGTAGGTTTAGGCTGGAGGAACGTTGGGGTGGCCAGATTGGAATATGGAATTAGTGCACGAAATCTTCGGCTTGCTGGACACTGAAAGCCTACTGTACATAATTTTAAATTTAGTGTATCTGTGGAGGAATTAGAGCACACGAAATGAATTCGATTCATCCTACGTTTGTTGTTCTTGAATCGCGAAAATTTATAGAGGGAACCAATTGTATGAAATATTTGACTGTTGATGTGAGCCATGTAGGGGAATATAAGACCTTCTGGTTGGGAACTGTATGACAACAGAAACCAATGGTGGGAGACTCTAGGTGACATGGCAGAGAATCAATGTCAGTGGAACAAATGTATCCACTCATTCAGTATTTTCTTATTCCTTCTTGTTATCTTATCGCAACTTTCTACCACTGTTGACTGCTTTCTTCTTTATCTTTAATCTTAGTGCTTTCTAGCTTGGTATGGTTATATAAGGTGTAGCAACCTGAACCGTTTTTCAGCATTGCCTCGTCCTAAGTTGGTATTTTCTGCCCATGTACATCCGAACCAATACGGAGTAGAAACCGACAGAGGATACTAAATCCCTGAATTTTAAAAGCCTAAGTAAATGATATGGTTGACTAACGAAAACAACTATGAACACCCCTACCATCAAACCTTCAAATTGATGGGGGAAATCGTATAATTTAATGTGTAAACGTCAATTTCAAAATGATGACACTAAAAAATCAATATATAGGGTTGAAAAACTTTAAAAGGAGATAAAATGACGTCAGGTGTTTTTGATCAATACTATCTTCAAGTCACATGTGCAGTGGAAAAGCAATGTGAACAGTATTGAAGCAATACCGATGTGTTGAAAGCAAATGAAGCAGATCAATTAATGGATTTGTGAATTCAGATCCACTACCTGCTAGAATACTGTTAGATTCGAAATCTGATACTGATTAGAGTAACAAGAAGCATGGATTGAAATGTTCTTCTCGGGACATTGTCTCAGATCACAAATACGTAGGTATGAAGAGTGCAAAGTATAGGTTTGCTGCTTAGGATCGTCTAGATAATCAAAACTTGCGACTGTATTCTAAACAAAATCGTTCAAAGTTGATGTAACCACTCTTTATCTCAGTATAACTATTTGATCCTATTACTTAAGATCTATTTATTCCCCACCAATTAAAGACCTTTCCCTACTTGCTGAGAAGACATCAGATACACTGCAGCCTTTTCCTCATCCTGTTTTTTTTTAAGTGATATAAAGTAAAATGATACAGTACACAAAGAGGTTTCATGCTGTTGTGTTCACTAGTACGCGAATATTTAGAAGTTGAAAGTTTCAAGAATGTGCTTTCCCAATTATGAATTGGCTCTTGACTCAGTTACAAGGTGAGGATAGAAATTACAATGGTACATGTTGGCATAATTCCATCAGACAAGAGTAACAGATATACATATCTACACAAAATCCATATAGGACTTGGAATTACTACGTACTGGTCCAAGTTATCACACCTCATGTCAGTACATCAAGTAAGAATGTACCAAGATGAAAAATATAGGATTTCAGGAAAAAAGAAACCTAATGACAACACGTGCTGCAGTTCGCTAATGTGTAAGCGAAGCGTCCACTCAGTAAATGCTGATACGAAAACTTTAATGGGAAGAGGGTAGTAAATCAACACGTGAGACTCATTGAAGTTGGACTCTGTTTCTTCTCGATCCGTTAGTCCTCCATGTTGATAGCCAGCATGCAAACAGATCACATTTAGTGAGGATCCCCTGAAATATTATTGTTTTCGATTACTTGTATGGTACGCAGACTCCTGACTAACGAGTAACAAGTAAACCACACACTAGCAACACTAACACCCAAGACGAAAACACGGAGCGAAAGAAGATTGGTCTGAATGACAGCCTTTACTACCTCAGAGAAGACTGATAATAATCCAAGACACACGTGTGTACATATATGAGATGAGACTTTGTACAGAATTACAAACACTAAAATGTTAAATGAAAGTAAGCGTCCATCGATTAGCAATTTGCTTTGGGAAATAAGGAAAAAATGAACTACTGGCATAGGCGTAAAAAAGGTGGGGAGACGATAATTTGAAATATGTGATAAAATGAGTAATGTTTATGCAGATTTGGGAGCGTCCCAACAGATAATCAAGAAGGGAATTTTCTGTAAACAGTCAATAACATTCTGGATGAAAACACTTACAAAATGTGAGACATACATTTCATTGAAATAAAAAATTACTAAATGGCAACTTAATTTAAACACGGTAAAAATGGCTTCAATGTGTTGCAGACTTCACAAAGGTGCAGGACAAAGAGACCAACAAATGGAAATATCTCACATAAAAAACAGTTGGTAGGAACAATGTGTAAAGCACTAATAAATTGAAAATATATGTGGAGAAAGATGGGGGTGAATAAATATGAACCATTGTGATCGATTATACCCGATGTCATCTGGAACTTGTGAAAATAAACTTTCAACATCTCAATGACTCTAGTTACCGCTTTATCTACCAGCGCATTCCCTATGCGAATTATACAGTCAGTAACTTTACAGCTGCATACCGTGGTTTGAGATGGCCACCTTCAGTTTTCTCCTAAACCAATCAAACTCATATGCATGATTTGTGGTCAGATAAGTGTAACACTTATTCAAGAGACTTCACTCGGTCCACGCTCACAATCCCGTCAACTGACTCGACTCCTTTGTCCAGGTTGCCGTACCCAACCTTAACTGACTTCGCATTGTCACTGCACACAGTCAATGATTCTCAGACACTTACTACTTATGATCGAAGACATGGAACTTTCTCAACTTAAGGGAACTGTTCAATACTGAAACGATAAAAATTTCCACAAAACAATTAAAAGCTTAGAGGAAGGCTACAAAACAAAACTTCTCACCTAGACGACTTTCTTTCAATGTTTCAAAAGTGAAGAATGCTGTCCCAGCATACGGTACAATACCAAGGATAGCAGGAGAGAAGCCGCGGTACAGTGAACGGATTCCTTCTTCTGTATAAAGTGTTCGAATAGCATGAAATAGACTGGAATATCTGAATAGTTTTGAATTCGATAAAATAACAAAAATTGTAAAATAACAGTTATTAATAACAGTAGTGATAGAATAATTGAGAACAATTCACTGACTGGTGGTTTGTTTTAGTGGGAAACTACTCGGACAAAACTGGGTCGTGTACTTTCTGGAGAATACACCTCTACTTGCTATGGGAAAAATTGTTCAAAAACTAGAACAGTGAACTGTATGATACACAGACTGGTTATTTTATATCGAGTATTATCTGAAGTTCCAAATATTTATTTAGGCTTAACTCTCAACAGTCACTGAAACACAATAAAAGATACCGAAATTCTTTAAAAAGTAAATCAATAGGTCGAATCATGTTGTTTCTGTTTGCTGTGGTTTTAATACTTGCATTGGTTGGAAAATAGTGTCAACATGTTATTTAGTTCACAGAAGGCAATAACGTCGTTGGTCGAATTTTGTATGCTTTCGCCTCTATCACATCCTTGACTTGTGAACTTAAATGTGTTGTTTCATTCCAATTTTGTCCAATCAGCCTTTTGAAAAACAAGAAACACATTTGATTTTGTTGAGAAAAAATATCACACGCGCAACCCTGAAGAAACGAATTTCGTTTATCCACTATTTGAAAAGAGCAAGAACAACAGTGGGAGTTGGAAAAAAAACGGACCCATTAACGTACTTGAATTCACTATTCCCTTACTGTCGCTATGGACGAAAAGTAGCACAATAATTTCGATAAACAGCTGATAGTTGTGAAAGCTGATTCGAATTTCTCAAAACTCCTACTTTACTGCTTACTTGCAATCGAACTGCTGAGTGGGTACTATAACTTGTAATGTTAGTGAAAATTACTCGCTACGATTATGAAATTCCAGTTAACAAGACAGTTACAAAGGTGTTTTAAAATGGTCTCTACGATAGGTTGTTTTGACCAGAGTCTTATGTATGAGAAAACCCCGGAGAAATGTGTTGAGTCCTACTTTGGAGATTATAATTATGGTGTAGCTGCAAGTTCTCCATTTTCCTGTAAAGTTAGTATCTTAGTCACACTTTTATCCACTGTTGCTTGCTTTATTCTGAACGCTTTGTTTTCCGCTTCGTTTGAAAGTTTCAACAGACCATCTAGAGCTCTTAGCAAACCACTTATTTATTACTTTTGAGTAAACTAACGAAATAAAATGAGTTACACTGATAACACCTACTAAATACAAAAAACACGTAAGACACGACAAGCCATTCATGAATAGACTGCTGTTATAATTGACATAAAAACCCAAAAAGTATTTCTATGATTACAGAATTATCCAATACGTATCTAGTTATCTAGACATTCAATTTTCAGACAGACGTTATGAATTCAGACATATGCGGTCTAATTAGAAACGAGTAATTAAAGAGAATCTTTATATCTTTGTTAATAATCGCAATACACAATTCAATTTCATTCACTTCAAGTTATAATTGCTGCTCAGAGTTCCAAACACTCGAATGCCTACACACCTTTGTGACAGAATGAAACTCAAACCAATCACAAAAAAAACTTTGTTCATAAAGTGTTGTTCTCTGAGTCAGTGTTTTAGTTGCAAAAACAAATCAGTTATACCATCCACACACTGAACTACAAATATTCTCGACAATTATAAAAGACTTAACATTCCCAAACTATTTCAATAAATACATAAATGCGTGTATGGCGGAGAACACTGTTAAAAATGTGAAGAACACATTCACTATTACTTTAATCCTGGATGTCAGAAACATGAGTAACCAGAAAATATTTCATATATCAAGAAGAAGTGAATGCACAATAACTACAAACAGATTCCTGTACTAGACCATGAACCATACTTACCGATTTTAGACTTTTAAGTTAATTTTTGGAGACTATGTTAACTTTTTGTGGTAATTAGTTACTTAAACACGGTTATGGCAATAGACCCTGAGTTAAGAAAAATAACTCATGATAAAACACCACAAGTTCTTCGAAGCCAAAAATTAAGAGATCAAAATGTTGACAGGAAAGACAACAGATAGTTACAGTATTTTAAGACTAATACGGTAATCATGAGACATTTTGAAAGAGCCAAATAGCTAATGCAGAATATTACTAAACTCTTGTACGCTAATTAAAAGTATTATTCATATTCTTGTCTTCTAAAGATGATGCATCTGCTTACAACGCTATCAAGACGGGAATGTTTCAACACATTTGAAGAGTGCCAGTGTAAATCAACCAATCTATTTTCAAGACTATACTTCATCTTACTGTTTGTAGTTACTGAATCATATGATCGCATACAGATTCTTCGAATCGGATCCCGACAAAATTACAGTTCTGACAGCACTACTTTCTGCTGATTAACACTCCACAGAACGTAGTCAAGTAATACGTTTACTGGTTCCGTAACAACCTCGCCTAGTTTACCAGCTACTAGCCGTCCCCTAGCCCGGATAAAGAGGGAAGGTTAGGCATAGGGTTAGTAAACCTACCCCAGAAAACCAATCCAACAACTAAAGAAACTTCGAAGCACAAAAAAAATGAAAAATAAAAATAAACTTATTCCATGCTGGAATCGGAGAGCCAGTTGGATGATGTGTCTCCTCCTCTCTCGATGAAAGCATAAGTAAACATGGAGACATGAAATGTCCACACAATGTTTGAAGCTGCCTGTCAAGGCTGCCCAAATTGCAAAAGAGATGAGAAGATATAGCATAGAAGTGCTGGGAATCTGCGAAACTAAATGGAATGGAAGTAGACTCTCCAAACTGTCAACCGCAGAGTTAATAATCTACACCGATATTGTCACCTAGACGAAAACCATGAGCACACTGAATTTCCGAGTGGCTATCATAATGTCCCCAGCACCATCGAAGGCTCTCTCTGTCTCTCTCATGTAGTGGGAACTAATCTCCTCCTGCAGGATCATGACAGCAAGATTCAACTCGTAACCAAGGAAACTCACAATCATACAATGTTACGCACCTACAAATAATGCAGGCCAAGAGAAGGAGGAATTCTACAGACAACTACAATCAGTAACAGACAAGACCCCAACCCAAATGCCAAACTGGGAGCAGGAAACACAGGAAGAGAACCAATCATGGGTCAAGAGGCACTTGGTGAAATGATGAATGAGAATGGAGAACTGTGTGCAGACTTCTGCGCATTCAACGATTTGGTGATTGGAGGTGAGGCAGTGTGTACAAACACAAGGATATTCAAAAGGCAGTGACATGGCTAGTAGGTCATTTTCCGCCCCATTTTCAAGTAATTTTCTGATTGGTTAATGCTTACTGTTACGATGTTGTCTCAGTTTTGCGACAAAGTCATATCTCGTGTGTATAAATACAGCCGTGTGTTTGGGTCAATTGACCATTATTCTCGAAGGAATAAACTCTCCCATCCACTTTAGTCTTCTTTTTTATTCATCTCGAATTGAAGTCGGTGGGTCTTGCGTACGAAGTTAGCTGTCAGTTAAACGTGGATATTAATCCGCTTGGAATATATGGTAGTTTGTCGACTATGATATCCCTTTTTCTATCCTTTTTTTTCTTTGCATGCCGCTGTAGGGTGGCAACTTAAAACGATGGGTAGTTCTAAGCTGATTACCCCGCCAGCATGTCTAACAGATAT